TTACTTCAACGGCTACACATACAACGCTTTGTAATAAATACACTGTACAGTTCGCATTTCCATCTTGGTTTCTCGTATCCCACTCAGTGGTATTCGCAGCTTCTGGCAGCGAAATAAAACAGTGTACCTCGATTTTTAATATGTTATAATTTGTCCTCAAGACCGTCTCGTTTTCCGTTGTTTTTTGTTTAAAATGAAATCTCAGTCCCACATAGCATTTGATTCTAATGCTTGGACGAGTGAGTGTTGATTTATTGCTACCCTTTTTTGAAAGCTTACGTCCACGTAGTAAAGTTTCTGCTTGGATTTGGTTAGTCATCGCGTCATCAAGTACATATTACCCAATCGAATATCGTCCGTGCAGTAAATTTTGTAGCGAACAGCGAGATAACATTTACACGTAAGAAAAAAAAGAAGGGAAAGGAAGGGAAGAGATTGGAAGCTTGGAGAAATGCAGTGAGGTGGAGCTCAGCACACTTTATTTTAAAACCGCACTGCCAAAAACGTTTTTCAGGCGTTTCATTCTTCCATTTTTAAATTCATCGCGCATTGCGCTGACCTCGGCAATTCTCAAATGCTGTTCTTTAGCCTGCATAGTAGCCGGCTTCCAGAGACATTGCTTTCCATCCACATTATCACCAACGCTGTTTGGATCACTGCAACAGACAAAAAATAACACTATTTGATTTGACAAAAGAATAAAATTATTTTTCTACAAATAAAAGGTCGCAATCTAATAAATGCCAGATTCCCCGCATACGTCACGAATTAGCAAAGCTCACTAGATTCTCTCTATAAGCAATTTGAGTTTTTTCGCAAAAGAAAAAAAAAAACAAAGAAGCTGTCGTCAGCATCTGCAGAAAGAAATAAACTGAATAAAACAATTTACAGTACCCAGTTTTTACAAAATTGCTTATGGAATGTGTCATAAATCTGCTGATTTGTTTATCCACTGCGGTTTTAAAAAATGGTGACATATATATATTCACGTCAAATAAATAAATGAGCTCGGTGCCATGCGTTGCCTCTGAAAAACAACAGTAATTTTATTTCACCAAAAAAAGCTCTTCCCTATACGCAAAGTTTATAAACTGATGAAACAGTCTTAGCACGAACAGTGCAGTCGAAGCGGAAGAGTTATTACAAAGGTGAAGCCACAAGAAAATGTAAGAAAAGAAATGCAAAAACCAATGCATCGAAGACGAAGGTGATGCGAATAATTCTGTGAGCATGAGTTTCTTGCACACGGACAGTGATTTTGGAGATTTTCGCGATTATGTTTGCTGAGGTTGTGAAATGCATATGCTTTAGAACCTGCAGCTTGAGATTATGCGTCAACAGCGTGTTTTTATTTGGTGCTAATCTGGCTACAGCGCTGATGTTCACAGATGGTTTTGCCTGACTTTTTATACACTGGGCCATAGGCATTGACGTACGTGTGCAAAAAGTAGTCACTAGCGAAAATAAATAGCGACGCACGCCGGGGTTCCGCTTCCTAGTTTTTATGGTTCCCGAGTCGAAAATGCGGGACAAAAGCACTCGGACGCACACGTGTACACAAAAATACACAGACAAGAGCGTGACAATATGCGTTTTGTGCAACTATTACACAGCTCAATATGCATAAAAAAGGGCGCTATATGAAAGGAAATATGACTTGTAAGTACCACTGTGGCCATATAAAAACAATAAAAAGCTTCGTCAACTAAATGCGAGCTGCTGTTGTGGTCACAAGGAAAACTAGGTAACACCGTGCGGGAACTGAGCTACGTCATTTGCTTTTTTCGCAACCGATGAGCATTATGCATTAGCAGTGGCGTTTGCAACATCGAAAAATGATCTATAGCACGATTCCGGAAGGTGTGACACGTCAGCAGATACAGCGGGTGATAACTGAAGGCAGATAACCAAGAGTAGCGAATGCATTTACCATCAAGAACTTTCTGAACTTCTAATGTTACTATGCCAGGTGCCGCTATGTCACTCCGTTCCCGTAAGCTCTGGCAAATATGCAGTGGCTGTCCAAACTTAGCACAGGCCGTTAAGCGATTGTTTTCCTTGCTGCAGGTAGTACTTAATGAGGCCGGAGGTTTGCCGGCTGTTAGCAAAGTGGTCAACATGTCCTGTCATCGGATTATATTTTTTGTAAAGGATAGAATGATATCCTGCGCGCCACTCATTTAACAGAGTGCTGGTTTTCTGTCACAAAGAAGTTCTATAAATATTCTTTGATACAGAGCTTTCTCTATCAATGCTCTATGAAAACGTTAAAGATAATTTATAAAAATTTTTTGCAGAAACTTATACAATTATAAAAAGAGACGAACTTTTGTAAGGGAGGTAAAAATTCAGTAGACCATAGCATGCTGGATTGCAGTGTTCCAGCGAAAACATATAAACCGTCTCACCTCGTTCAATAAGCTTTTCGACATACAAGCTCGTCCCGTAGTTACTTGTTAGATCGCCAAGCATCTCAAATAGCATCGATTAAAAGTGAGCAACAGCTTCTGCCCCAGGAATGGCGAAGTTATGTGTTTTAGTAATTAGTTTCGTACATAGAGAGCCAGCTGGATAAACAATTGGCTCTGCTGCTTCAACTGATTTTTTTAGCAAGCTGGGTTACTGTAGTCTAAATTTCGAGTTTCTGCCTTTTTTTTTGGAATAAGTCTAATTTGGCGTTGAGCTGACGTTTTTGTAGTATCGTCTAAAAATAAGAATACTTTTGTGCTTACGGCTTTCTAAACAGGAAGGAAAATACTATCGCGAAAAATAAAAACACAATTAATCTTCAAAAAGAAATACAGATTCATCACATTTTCCTTGGGAAACGAAAGGGCACCTGTGCCTCAGCAGAGTTACAGCTTTTGTTCTAATGGTATTAATAAAACTAACTGGAGATCAAACTTACGTCGATAAAAGCACGCCTAATGTTGCTTTTATCACTTAAATTGCCATTCCCACGATTCAGATAAATTTCATTGATAAATTGTCGTACATTAGCATCGCTTCCTTCCACAGCTTCAGCCACGATACGTACGCCAAGCTCAATGTCCTTCATGTCACACGCCATATGACCCATAGCAACTGTAATGAAACCAATTTATGAAAAAAAAGATTAGGAATTTCTGGAAGCTGGAGAAACTGCTATCCACTACAAGCGAAGTGAAAAACGAAAGGGCTTCCAATTGATTAACTGGAAAGTTGTGATATCAACATATGCTTTCTCCCGTTTGGCGCCTACGCTGATTACGAATTATAAAAAGACGCGCAAATCATTTTTCGCGAAATAATTGTAAAAGAAAATGCAAAGAAATTATAACCGAGTAGGAAAAGTGATGACTTAATATATCTGTCCTTTACATTTCTTGAGTGCCCCAGTTTATTAACATTGCTCTTGTTTTGCGAAAGATGCCCTTATTACACAGATCTCTAAACGGGAGGAAATTAAATCTACCGAGCAGGAAATGCTGCTCGCTTTGTTGGCTTCAGGTAATGCTAGATGTAAGCAAACGGCGCTCTATTATTTCAGATTTCTATGGATTTATTTTACCGCACTGAAAAACTTGCTTTTAGTAGTGAGAATCTATAACTGTTGACTGCAAACGTTTGTTGTGAATGCACCAGTGAAAAAATTGCTACGTGTTTCATTTGTCTCCATTCGATTTTATACAGATCCTCAGTTGCACATCCTATGCAAATTTCACGGCGAAAATACTTACCGAAAAGAAGGCCTTCATCTTCCGTGAGGCCCACAAGAGATGGCTTGGTTGGCGCTTGTTTTCTTAGTTCGGCCACCGTACACGGTATCAGGTCTCCGTCAATGACTGGCGTAAGCGGAAGACGTCCAGTGGAGAACATCTCTTTATTACCGATCATACCGTCGCCAAGTTTCGCAGCTGGCAGACCGCGCAAAAACTCCATCAACTGAGTATCGTCTTTACCTGAAGCAGAAAAGCTTGTAACCATAATTTGAACGTCGGGGAGGGGGGGGGGGAATTCTTTCTGCTCCTATTTGAGATATTATGTCGTGTTTGGTTGCAAATAGATTTGTTTAGTGCACATTTCTTTGCACAATTGGCCAGTAACATTTCAATTCAGTGTTGCCACTGTATGTGTAATAGCAGTGATAGTAGATATGTTAAAGAAGATAGTGAAAATTTTGTTAACATCAAAGATTATTAGCGTGGAGCTTTCGATGTGACACAGAATTCTGCCATGCTAGCGCTTTTACTCCAGGCTGCTTGGTTATAACGTCGATCGGCATATTTGCCAATTTTTAAGAAGTTATCCGAATAAGTTCCCTTGTCTCCAAGTACGGACGGGATTTAGTTAAAGTGCAAATATGATTTAAACACGCAAGCGCAAAACAAGCTGCGAAACGTCGGAAAAAAACGAAAGGTTCATAAACGGTGTAACAAACTGGAACGAAAATAAGCAACGTCGTCTAGGTCATAGGACTGCTGGCGATCAAGGAGGGCTATTTTTGCCAAAAGGCGATAACATTTCCTTCAAATGACACAGATCTGGAAGACAACTCATCACTTTCGAAAGCAGGTATAACAGTTGCGCGTGTCACACTTATAACATCTCATTGCTGGATAATGGCGTGAACTCGTAGTTCGGTAGTATCGTCTGCACATGTACCTTTATAAAACGATTTTGGTTTTATAAAGCTCTATTAGAGGCTGGGATTACCTCGCCATCCTAGTTTTTCGACATGTCGGCGGCAGTAATTGGCTACTTTCTTCGAATCAGAGACGGCCCATGGACATTCCGCATTACCGCCCAATAATACTACTCGATGAAAAAGATCTGAAAGATGCAACAGTACAATACAACCAAAATCCGTTGCATTCATGACACAAGTAAATAAATTTTATCTAAAATAGGACGAAATGTGATATAAATATGTTCAAATAAACGATGATGTGTCACCTTTGGTCATTAACTCATATGCAGTCAAAAATTCCAAAATTTTATACTTTGTTCTCATTTCATAAAAATTGCCTAAACTTGGACTTGAAGTTATCACTGAGGACGCAGAGAAATGAAAGTGAATTTTAGATCCGTTTCTTTTATGCTGGATGAATTCGTTCGTAAAAATTCCGTTTCCATGCTTTGAGAGTTCCAGAGATGAAATTTTTCGTCAAACGAGCGTACACACAAGCATGGCCTTGCCGTAGTAAGTTTTCGTCATATCGATCGCTCAAAACGCACCAAAAAATAAAACTACTTTTTTAAATTAACACTGCGCTATAATGCGCTAAAGAAGCGAGTAGACTGAGTAAATGATTCTATAAGCGAATCGCTGAAAAGAAAAAAAAAGACGATATCGAGGACCTTTACTCTGAGGGATGAGTGTCAGTAAATCAGCAGAAACAGCTCCGGCGCTCTGTCCAACCACAGTTATTCGATTCCGATCGCCGCCAAAATATTCAATATTTTCAGTTACCCATTTCAAAGCCATGATCTGTAAACCAGTAAAAAATAGCGGTGCATCGAACTACGGACAAGTGGGAAATGGGTAGAAAACTATTTGGCTATCCAATTAATGCATGCCAAACCACCACACTTAAGCCTTTCAGAGCAGGGGTCCTTCTCGTTCCACAGAGCAAAGGTCCTCGACATCCTCTTTTATATCTGCTCAGTTCTTTG